TTGATCACATTTTTTTACACGTTAAATGTTATAGATTTCAAATGCATACAATGCGTTGCAATTCCGAATTACCTTTCCAAGGTGACTAGCACTGGGCCCGGTCCTTGGTCGGGAGAGTTTGATTATTATATGTTTTGATGTGTTGTTGTCATTTATAATATGTAATTTTTTGGTATGGATAAAAAAATATAGAAATGAATAACTAATATAAATAACTAATAGCGATATTTATAAAGTAAATGATGTTTATTTATTTTGTATTTCATGCAGGACAACATGAGAGTTTTCTTCTATTACATACACAAAATCAATCTTAATCATAAAAGAAAATGATTGTCCATTCATGTAGTTTAATCAAATATTTTTTTCACAATAGTTACCATCTTTATTCATCAAGGTGCGTTATAGATAGAAATTATATCACGTGAGAGAATATATAGGACACATTAGAGATTGGTCAACAATATGAAGTAGCATGTTGAAGATGTACCACGATGACGTAAAAACCACCTTCAATACAACATTTAACCTTACTTATTTTGCACGAACTAATATGCTATAGAATTTGTGACCATTTTGCATCCATGCATGAGAGTGTCGTTGTAGAAGCTGTTAGAGAAACCAAAAAATGACCTAATGCCAAGATTTAGAGTGAGCATTCTTAACATGAGTCAAGGGCTCGAGGCATAAAAACATATAGCATGCGGTTTGGATTCAATCATTAAGCTAATTATTTATCAAGTTTCTTAACTGAATAGGAATCATTAGATTAATCAAGAAGAAAAAACCTAAAAGAGAAATGTCGATATTCTAAATTAATAATTAGTTTAATAAGTGTTTAAAAAATAAAAATGTGAAACTTCAATCTCTCACTTTTTCTCTACCACATTCAAGCCGTGTCGGAACCTCCCATTTTGTACCTTTCTATTTTCTCACGCCGTCCGACACATTCGCTTCTTTCCAAAATGAATTTTTGGTTACCTTATTTCCACTTTCTTCATATACCATTTTCAGACACGACAAATTCGCATTAGACAAAGCTGATATCGTTCATCACGGGGAATAGATTCGATAACCGCTGTCGTTGCTTTGTATATGTCCATCATATCTTCTTGTTCCGCTGCAGTCGATGTCAAAGTTTGGAAGCTTCATTTATTAACTGTTGATATTCATACTTTAGTGTTACTTGCTTCAGCGTCGGTTCATTCATATATATATATGGTTAACGATTTTGCTTATGCTGGCAATGTTTCAATTTTTAGATTATTAACAATACATCATTTCATTGTTAATAGTATGATCCAATATCACAGTTGTCTATTAATGTTGTTTGTTCATATTATTAATGTTCATGATATTATTGATAAATTATTTTACAAATGAACATATATGTTGATTATGATAATTGTTAACATCACACAAAATGGAATAGGTATTAACTCGTATAATTAAAACTAATATCATAATTGTTAAAAAAATAACTCTATTGTTGTTAAAAATACATGTTTGTTCGATAAATGGTTCTATGGTTGGGATTTTGTAGAGTTTGTTTTATGTATGTGTTTTCTATCGTAATCCAAATCATATTAAATTGTAATTTTAATACGTACTAATAAAATCGTTAGATTAATCTAAAGGCCAAAATTAGATTGAAGTAAATTGTAACCAACGATTAGTACCATATATATTATGAAAGCGAAAATAATATTGGAATCTTCAAGATTGAGAATTTTATTTGAATAATGATAACTTACTTTTTCATTCATGTGTAGCTTGGTTTGATAATTGGATTTATGCAAAACACACCATCTTTTTGTTGTTTGACAGGTGAAAATAGAGATGATTTAGCGTGGAGACGAATTCTGAAGCTTCGCCCAGCTACTCAACGAGCGCAGTTTGGAATACGATACGTCATGTGAAGAGCAAACAACACTGGTCTGCTCTTCTCTATAGTAAATTCTAGGTGTCGCGTTGGAGTATCATAGCATGGATTATGTCCATGGATGCGATAGTAACCAAGGTAAAGTTGATGTGATGGGGTAAATTAAATGAAGATAGATGCATTTTATGTCATGCCAATAGTGAGACCTGGGATCATTTGTTTTTCGAATGTTGTTTCTCGAGGATTATTGTTAGCAGAGTTGGTAATTTTTTCAGTAGTAGCTCTTGGGATCTCCGACTCTCATATCCAGGTAAGGGTGGAAATCGGTACGGTATCGGTATCCCAATACCAAATGCTGAAATCCCGAATATCGAATTACACCCGAAAGTCAATCCCAATCCCAATCCCTAAATAATTTCGGTATCCCAATCCCAATCCCTAAATCATCTGGTATCCCAATCGGTACTTCGGTATCCCAATTAGTATTACCGAATACGAAATGAATTATATTTGAAATAAATAATTAAATATATAAATTAGATTTGATTGTTTAATTTAGAGCAAAAGGACTAAGCAAAGAGTCTTGAGTTTGCCTATAGTTAGGATATGGATAAGGAGAATGAAGGAGAGGTGACATCTCAAGTTCTTATCATTGGTAATCTTTAATTTGATGAATTGGAGGCTGAGAGACGACCAATACTAGTGTATGCTTTTTGGTGTTATGAAAATAACAAGTGATTAGGTGAGAGATGAGAGTTACTTAAATTGGAAAGTCATAATTGAGTTGGATGGGGACTTCGGAGTTGCAAAACAAAGATGGAATGATCTATGTATAATTAAATGACACTCTTGGTGGTTGAGGGTCGTGTAGTAGTGAATGAGAGAGTCTAGTTGAGAGGATAAAATACACACTAGCTTATATTTTGGTATTGATCGGTATTTCGGTATATACCGATCCCAATCCCGTAATCCCTAATACCGAATTACAATTGAAATTCAATCCCAATCTCAATCCCAAAAAATAATACGTGTATTTGGTAATACCAAATATAGACAAATTCGGTACGAGATTCAGACCTCTATGGTGCAAAGCGAAACACGACTATGAGAAGACTTATTGGACCTCTATGGTGCTCCTTGATTAGTTTTGTTTGACTGGAAATGTGTCAAAGGCTCCATGGAGAGGTCCCAAGAACGACCGATTTTACCGCCTAGCGCAAACGCTAAAACCCGTGCGACAGATTTAAAGCCCAACATAAATGTTTAAACGAAGCATTCCAATTAAAGTGTGGTAAATGCCATTTTTTCCTTCAAAAAATCACTCTGGTTGCTGGATATTTGAAATTGAGAAAATTTAACTCATGAATCTCCTTCACATATTTTATAAATTAGAGGATAGTGTAGAACTAAAATAATCAAATATAAAAATTGAAGTATCAAGCACCATAAAGATACTTACAGGAGAGTTAATGAGCTAGCTTATGGTTATGCAAAACTCATCTGTTTTTCAGATTTTAACTTCGTGTATGTTTTGTAATAAAAAGTATACAATGTATTTGTTTAGTGTAATTGTTTATGTTTCTTGCCTTTGTTTAAAGAGACCATGGTTTAAATTTTAGTGCTGATATATTGTATACAAAATAAATAACTAATTGTGAAGGCAAAAATACCCTTCATACTTTCACTCTATTTGCTCGAAATTTGAAATGGAGAAAATTCAACCCATGAATCTGCTTTATATATAGTATAGATAGATAACTAGGATGATGTGAGATTTTTTTTATGAGAATGAGAATTATATTATTGCGATAAAATATACCAGATGTATAGGGGTTAATACAGAGAAGGAGGATGTGGGTGTTTCATTCCTAACTCCTTTTGTTTTTGTCATAGATATTTCCGAAAGGAAAAGCATCATAGATATGATACATACAAGAATCTTGCAGGCTAAGTCACAAAAAGGAAATAAAAAAATGTGGGTAGTCTTAATATACCCACGCAGTACGAAATGGAATGGAATACGTTGGAAGAGAGATCGTAACACCTGAATCTCTTGCAAGATAGCTCCATCCAACACGTGCGACGAATCCCTCACGTTGATTAATTGAATAATTATCTGCACGTCCCCACAAGATAAAACATTAGAGAATGAAAGAAATAGACACCAACGAGGAACATCTCAGAAAGCTAAGAGCTCTATAACAAATGAGTCAATAATATATTGACTAATTATAGATTCTGGACATCTATTTATTTTTAAGTCGTTAACAACCAATAGGTAATTAAATCGGTAACAAATTAAATAATAAAAGCTATTCTTTCCAACGAACACTTCTACTATGATATATAGTATTGATGCTTTAATGTACAACTTGAAGTTAAGTTTAGGTTGTACCATAAAGGAACTTGTATCACTATGCAATTGTTAAGTTATGTAGCGCCTTCAGACCTGAACAAAGGCAGGGTACAATGCTAGTTCGATTAAAACAAAAGGGTTATAGGTATATTACGCCCCTCTACTATGACGTTTTATCAAACATGCCCCTTTACTATTTTTTTACATCAAACATGCCCCTGTACTTTGAAAAAATGATCAAACATGCCCTTTTGTTAAAATTTTAATCCAAAAATCGTTAACCAACGCCGAACTTTAGTTTGGGCGACACAAATGACTAAAATATCCCTAATAAATTCACTTTAGATTCTTTTTGGTTCTTTTCTATAATCAAATCATTCAAATAATTTCACTTTGAAAAGACCAAAGGAAATAAAACAGGGGACAAAACTGACATTTTCCCTCCCATTTGTCGATGCCGGGTCGTCTAAATCTCAATTCAACCATGATTGACGATTTTTTCAATGAAATTTTTAACAGAAGGACATGTTTGATAATTTTTTCAAAGTACATAAGCATATTTAATGTAAAAAATAATAGAGAATCATATTTGATAAAACGTCATAATAGAGAGACATATTATACCTATAACCCAAAACAAAATAATTTATAATTCCCTCCTTATCTCTTCGGCTCGTAGTCGTACTTAGTTCTTTTCATGGCTGGATCCACAGTTCTCAACTCCATCGCTAGCTCTCGAACCCCTGGCAGTTCCTTTCTTCGATGACCACGAAACTTCCCGTGGCGCCGCCGGTCGGGCATTGTCTCTATCCGCCACCGTTCGGGCCCCATTGTTTCCCTGGCGCTCGCCGCTCTCTCCACCCTTCGCCGTCAAGTCTCGCTTTTCTCTACCGACGGAGCTATCTCCTTTCAGCCCATCACCTCAAGGTTCTCACATTCTTTTCATTTCCCCTTTTATTCCCCATGAAGTTGAGCCATCAAATTTTTTCCTGAATTTCCTGACCTTGGTCTTGTATTGTTCTGGATTTCGTCGTGGCTGATTAGAGTGCCAAAGCGGTGAAGTTCGATGGTCCGTTTCTGGACGTTAGGGAGATTGAAGAAGAGGACTGCGAGTTGGTGGTAGAGACCTCCATTACTCGTACTTTGCAACCCGCTGTAACGCTGGAAGCGGGGCTTCAGAGTATTAAGGAGGCCCTGCAGGAATTGAAGCAGAATCCTCCTCATTCAACTGGTGGAGTTTTGCGGTTTCAGGTAATTTCCCGCTTAATGATGCCTGTCGATAGGTATCAGCAATGGCGATGGGGACATACTTGCTTCCTTTTTCTATGTTCTCTAGCCCTGTGCATGGACTAAAAACTGTTCTCTTGTGTTTTGTATTTGGCTCATCTTTTCCATCGTACTTTATATGATTCTAGCGTCGATACGATGCTTGAGAAATGATTAGATTATAAGTTTGAAAAACTTAGTTAAATTTTTGGTCTTTGAATGGACAAACTGCACACAGCTCCCAAATTAATCTGAAGGATGAAGTATACCATCTGGCATCTGCTTAAACCTCATCAATTGATATTTTCAGGTGGCTGTGCCACCCAGCCCAAAAGCTTTGAATTGGTTCTGTGCTATCCCACCTTCGTCTGGGGTGTTCCCTCGATTTTTCCTTTCTAAGGAAGTTGATGAGCCGTCGTGCAAGTCTCTCTACCTTAACAGAACCCGCGGCGTTCTCGGAATGGGGGCAGCAGTTTACTTTACTAATTCCACTTCTAGTGCTTCTGACGATCAAAGCTCAATTAGAAGGTTGGTTTCGTCCTGCTCTATTTTCTTTTCATTTGATGTCTCACTCAGATTGAACTTGGTCAGTTCTCGTCAATTAGATTTCATCTTGTACAAATTTATTTGACAGGGTGCTGGCTTATTAGCTAGCTAACATATCGGAATCAAATGCTTACTTTAGTAATCGAGAATAAGAGAAAGCAGTTAGTCTAGTGTTAGATGAGAGGGGCAAAAGAGGCTTTTAGCATGATTTTTTTTTTATGTATCTAAGCAATCTGTGGTAGCTTTTTCATGGAAAGTAGTATGAGCACCCACTAATTGACTTAACTGATTAACAATAAAAGATATGTCAGGCCTAGTGTTACAAAGGTACTGAAATCATCTAATCAAAGTCCTGTAACTACTGTGTGCAATGTCATCCAGAAGAGTGCCCTCAGTATTGGAAACTTAAATTCTAGGAGAGAAAGGAGTAATGGTTGGCTTGCTGGCCAAGATCCTATATTTTATAGGATGTCTAGAGCATATTTTCTTTGGCTTGCTAGTTAGGATGGTGTCATCCACATAAATGAGCAAGACGGTAAAATGAGAATAATAAATCTTAAAAACTAAGTAGTCACTATGGAATTTGTTGTAACAAGCGATTCTAGGTAGAAACATTTTGGTGATCTAGAAGCATAAAAACATAAGATTTTAAGTTTTAAAGTGAAAAACGTGCATTTACATAGAGACATTTTGGTGAACTAGAAGTGAAAAAACGTAAGCTTTTAAGTTTTCTAGCGCGGTTTTGACTACATTGATTGCAAGTTTCGCAAACCATTGTCTGATGGCTTGTTTTAAGCCTACAATGACTTGATAAGCTTATAAACTTTATTTTTATTAGCAGGAGTGTGATGAGTCAGGGAGGTTGCACCATTAAACTGCTTCATTTAAAAAACCTTCTGTGATTAGAGCCAAGAGAACTATAGGTTAGAATGTACTAAATAGGATGAGTAACAGTGTCTGTAGGTTCCGCAACACTACTGATTAGATTGCACTTGTAATCTCTAAGATGAATATGCCTTTTATAGGTCTAGTTGTCTTTCTTGTAGGTTGTAGATGTGTCTGCAGCTATAGGGGAAGAAGAAACCACTAGTGTAGTCAGATTTTGATTGGGAGGGAGATTAGAATTCTATTCCGTGGTATTGGTATCGGGCAGGGAAATGTGAGTTGTTTCAGTATTGAAACTATGTTAGGAAACATGGAAGGCTGTAGAGCTAGGTATTTCCAATCAAGCAAGGATTGGGAATGAGCAAGTGTACCTAAAGAAGAGTGATATGTTTATTCCTTAGAAAAAAAAAAAAGAAGATGGTCTCATGAAAATAGATATCTCTAGAAATGAAAATTGCATGAGTGGTTAGGTTTTATAACCGAAACCTTTGGTGCCATGAGGATGACGTAGATGAACTGTTGATGCATAAGAGAGACGACCAAACATCCTTAAGTGAGTGAGATTTGGTTGTTTGTTATGTAACTTTTCAAAAGGATCTTATTATGAAGAAGAGGAGTGGGGAATCTGTTTATCAATGGGCATCGTGCACAACAGCAAAATGTCAAAAGTTGGTTGGCAAATTTGTTTGGAAAAGTAAGACCCTAGTCAGAACAAGCGAATGTTAATGCTTTCTTTTCATAATCCCATTTTGCTGAGAAGTGTAGAGACACGTAGTTTGATGTATGATGCCTTAAAAATGAAAGAGTTCGATCATTTTGAACTCAAAACCATTGTCAGTTCTTATGATCTTAATTGTCTTATTGAACTGTGTTTGAAAAAGAGAAGTTGTTGATGATTGCTCGAGTATCAGATTTATTTTTCATAAGAAAAACCCAGGTGCTGATTTGTGTTTCTCGTTTGTATCGGAACATCATTGCAAACACCTTGTTAATAGGTGGGAGTGGTTCCAGAAGCATAACAGTAGAACGAAGACCATTAATTCTGTCATTGGGGTTATTAAGAAATCTGATCATCTTATCATTCATGTGATTCCTCCTAACGCGAGCTAGAACACAATGGCATTTACTCTATTACAACATTCATGCATTTCCACACTTTACACTTATCTATGCTGTTGTCGCGCTCATTTAGGAGACTATAACTGGCCTAAAGTAGCTATCCTCTGTTTGGCATTGCATTATGACTTGGTTCAAATAGTTATTCCGGGTTTCTCTATTTTGTTTTCTTAATCCTTCTCCATCTTGGTGGAGGTTTTATCTTAATAAGCATACCATGAAGGAGACTGGGAGAGCCATGGTAATTGTCACATCATAATAGCTCAAGAAATTGATTGCCTTTGTGATAACACTCACCTTAGCAAAATTAAACTGTCTGCATATGGCGTATGCATGTCCAATCTACATCATCAGCATCCGCCAGAATGTTTTGTTCCTTCACCTCAGCCTACTCTCTTTTACAGTCCTGCTCTTTTGACTCTTTGAGGACAGCTAATCGATGCTTATGTAGTTTTTCTGCAGATACCTCTCAAGTGATTCAGTTAGTATGACCACTTACGGTTTTATGGACGTCAAATTTCAGTCTTCATTCAAGCTTGAAACTGGTTCTGTATACTTTTGCATTCCAGAGGTATGGTTGCCTGGACCTGCATGCATCTTGAAACCTATCCAGCATTGGTTTAGACGTGAAGTCTCGAGTTGTAACCCTAAGATTGAGAATATTTTCATACAAATATATCATGCTATACAATTTTCTAAACTAAAAGTTGATGTCAACAGATTGAATTAGATGAGCTAGTGGATATTTCTATTCTATCGGCAACACTGGCTTGGAACGACTCTTCTTCCAATCTAATTCGGCAGGCTATTCAATCATTGGAGTTATCCCTATTGGAGGTAATTTCATAAGTTATTCAACGTCTTTTTCAGTAGTGGGGCCAGTGATGAGTGCTGCTTGATCCTTCCGTGAGTGCCTGAGTAATGTAACTATCTATTCAGCTCGATTTCCCCTATAAAACTGTAATTTTTCTCTATTGAACTTCCCTCAACGCTATTCCATACATATATCTTCTTCCCAGGTCAGTTCTCATTTTTCAACAGCTACAGAGAGATCTGAACATCGAAGCATAGCATCTGCTCTTGGAAAGTCAAATCTGGTGGAAGACAAAACATTGAGAATGGTACGTATTCGACATTAATTTTCCTTCTGGTAACTGTGGCATCCTGCATCTTTAAGTCTCTAAGTACAATTTCCCACATCATGCTGCACTCGTGCAATATGATCTTCTAGTTTTCTGCTCAAGTTGAGTTTTTGGAGGGGAACAATTATCAAAACTACCCATCGGAACTGGTACTCTCCTTTCCCTGGTAATTCTCTTCCTTATTATGTCTTCCAAAGAAGGAAACTGAACTAATGGAGTACTTTCTCTTTAATCATAATTTTGATGCTATTGTACTCAGTCTGTCCTACTGAAGAATCCTCTAAATATATGCTAAATATTTTTGCAGAGACAGACTCCCAATTCTCGTCAGTTCTGTTTCAGGCTTTCACCTAGTATTGGCATCTCTAACAACATGGTATTGATAAGCAGAATAACTCTCTGCAAAAACCTTCATTTGATCAATTATGTGTCCTGCATTATAATTGCCTTGGCGGAGAAGTAAATCATAAATGGTGATTTATCTGCTTATATCATAGGAATTAGGAAGGGTAGATGGGTGAAACGTCAATTCAGGATGCTTATGCATTTGCTGTGGCAGATTGCTTGGATAAATTTTCAGTTTTTTAACTAGCCCTGTATGACTTAGGGGAGAAAAAAATATGATATAATGCGAGAATAACAGTTCTCCCTCCCCTACCTTTTGCACTATCTTCTACAGGGTATATTTTTAATACCCAGTCATTCTGCCCTGTGGAAGTCATTACAGAATACACATCATTACTAGACATGCGAAAATGATATATACCTGTTGGTTAAGAACCAGAAAATTCTTCATTTTGCTCAGTTGGATCTGGCCACCGGAACAAGCTACCAATTGCAACATCAAGCAAACATCAATGCAGTTTGGGCATCACTTATAGTAGAAGAATGTGCTCGCCTTGGTCTGACAGTGAGTTTGTCACTATTAAGTATGTTTTTTTTCCTTAAGTGTTACTCCTAGTCTCAAAACAATCTGCTTCTGTAGTTCTTTTGCATAGCTCCTGGGTCAAGATCTTCACCCCTTGCAATTGCTGCTTCAAGTCATAGCAAAACGACTTGCATTGCATGCTTTGATGAGCGGTCACTTGCTTTTCATGCCGTTGGTTACTCAAAAGGATCTCAGAAACCAGCAGTCGTCATAACATCATCAGGCACTGCAGTTTCAAATCTTCTTCCTGCAGTAAGTAGTACTATATGTCAGTAACAGCAAAGTTGAACTTTTCTGGGAACATTCAATTTTTTCTTTTCCTGGTGAGCTGGAAACGATTGAGCTTAGATACATTTTTGTGGCATGTGCACTGCACCTGGCATCTGTCACTGTAATGATTTTCCTGAATCTGAACTTTGTTGCATCCACCCTCCTTATAGTAGTCACTCCATGCTATACTCCACTCTTGTGTTTGTATGCATGTACATGACTTAGAGCTGTCATGATATGGTATTTGGTGCTTTCAGCTCATCAAAGGAAAAGCCTTCTGTCGCTTAGCCCATTTTTTAATGTTGATTCATTGCCTTTTGCAGGTTGTGGAAGCTAGTCAGGATTTTGTACCACTAATATTGTTGACTGCTGACCGTCCTCCTGAGCTTCAGGATACTGGGGCGAACCAGACAATTAATCAAGTAACTTAGACCGTTTTTGTTTTCTCTATAGAGATTTTACTTTTTATTATGCATTGGTAGCATTATCATAGACAGAGAAGTAGGTAGATACCTTCTAATGATGAAAAACCAACGGAAAACTGTTTTCATTTATCCAGAAGAAAAAATGGGTTTTATTGGTCTATGGAATCTCGACTGCAAATAATCATCACTACTGACCTTGATCCCTTGTGTCTGTGATTTAGGCTCTCGTACACTAGTATACTCCACTAACTCATCTCTCTCTACATATGTATATATATGCTCTTTACATGTCTACCTTGTAATCTTGATTACTGAACTTAATCCTGTGCTCTAATATTTGAATATTCCAGCTTATTCATCTTAAACTTGGGACCTTGGTAATATCTCTAAAGGACATTGTTTCAGTATGCGGCCATTTTAAAATCGTATAATGTAGCTTTAAATCTCATTCATGTCTGTTCATTCCTACTGTTGTCTTTCAGAACAAGGTCCTTTCCCTTGTTCTTCTCTATAATAATTTTGTTTGTGATGTTTTATTTTTTGATTCATGTGAAAGCTAACTAATCAATTAAGTTTGTGGTTATAAGGCTTTACATGAGCTGAAAACTATTAGAATGTCTTTGCAAATACCACGCTCTTGTTACTGAGTAGAATTGAACGTATGCTCTTATTTGTTCTGTTGTCTCAGATGTAAACATTGCTTGACTAAAAATGAAAAGACCAATTATGAATAGCTGCTGGGTTGGCAGAACCATGTCATTGTTTATGGGAAACCTTGAATCACTGGCAAATATAGTCTGTTCTGATCGTTGGATTGATATTACTTGTGTCTCTGAAAAGTTTTCCCCTTTTAATTCTCATGATGTGGAGGTAGTTACAACGTACTTTTGATATGATTCTCATGCTACGACTTCTTGTGTTAGTCTTCATGTTTTTAGTTCATCACACAATGTTTTGTCAGAATACTGTGTACTGACAGTTCAAAGTATTGTATTTGTTTGGTAGGTGAACCATTTTGGTTCTTTTGTCAGGTTCTTCTTCAACCTTCCTGTGCCAAGTGACACTATTCCTGCTCGGATGGTTCTTACGGTGCTGGACTCTGCTGTGAATTGGGCTACATCTCCACCATATGGCCCAGTTCATATTAACTGTCCATTTCGAGAACCACTTCACGATAGTCCTGAGAAATGGATGTTGAGCTGTTTGACGGGATTAGATAACTGGATGTGTAAGGGTGAACCATTCACGAGATATATCAAATTCCAACATTCATGCAGCACGACAAATCATGCCACATTGACAGAGGTGATTGAGACAATCCATGGAGCTAAGAGAGGGCTGCTTCTTATTTGTGCTTTAGACACTGAAGATGAGATATGGAATGCTCTTCTCCTTGCAAAACACCTCAATTGGCCAGTTGTAGCTGATATCTTATCTGGCTTGCGCCTAAGAAAGGTTTTGACTACTTGTCCTGAAATTCAGGGGAATATTGTATTTCTTGACCATCTAGACCATGTTCTGCTCTCGGATTATGTCAAACGTTGGATTCAATTTGAAGTCATTGTTCAGGTAATATATTTATTTGATTCCGATACCAATAAATGGATTTTATAATGTTATAGTGAACGATAAAGTTCATTTGTCAGTTATTGATATTTTAACAGAATTGCATTGGTTAAAAATTAGTGATACAGGGATGGAAAAATGGTTTGTGGTTCGATTTTGACAGGACGGATTGGAGTAATAGGCTGCTCAATGTGTGTTATCATGGGCTGGGATACGAGTTACTGAATTTCTGATATTAGGAGAAGGAATTAAATCTAGTTATGAGCACCGAGAATAACTTTCTGTTTCTTAAGTTCTGTTGTCGTTGAAATCTGAGCGTGAAGGCAACTAGAGAAACGAAATGTGTTGGATGCAGCCCAGTAAAGCACAGTCAGGATAGGTAGCTCATGGCTATTATTTAAGCTCTAGTCAATAACTGTAGGATTCAGATATGACTTTCATCATTGGCATTTCAATAGAGAATGAACTTTTTTTGGACAACTCAATTATGAGTGTTTTATCTTCTTGTTTACAGTTGTGTTTGTGTTTTGTGACAGATTGGAACACGGATAACAAGCAAGCGTATTTCTCAGATGCTAGAAGAATGTTATCCATACTCATATATCCTAGTCGACAATCATCCATGTCGTCATGATCCATCACATCTCGTGTCACACAGAATCCAATGCTCCGTTTCTCAATTTGTTGACGCTTTAATGCAAGTGCAGTTTCCACTTGCAACACCCAACTTCTGTTCTTATTTACAGGCATTGAATAAGACGGTACTCAGTTTTATTTTATCATTTTTTGTTTTTGTATTGGTGCTCTAAATGTCCTTACTAGTTAGCCGGATGTATGGTTGTCAAAAATCATTAAAATCTCTGATGATCATTTTTTACTGTTTGATAATCTTGCTGGGGGCATTAGGCGATTCAAATATTCTTTCTTGTTCTCTCTGCAATTCGGACTAACCAGTGTTTTTGGTTGGCTTTGTTTACACGAGTCTCTTGCAGGTTGCATGGGATATATTGTTCCAGATCTCAGCAGAGCCCTCCTTAACTGAGCCTCATGTTGCATATGCAATTTCGGAAATACTTGGTGCTGAGTTTGCTCTTTTCGTCGGCAATAGCATGGCAATACGTGATTCTGACATGTATGGCCATAACTGGAAAGATCAAACTCATATGACAGCAGATATGCTGTCTTCATCTGGACTTCCCTGTCTTGGTATTCGGGTTTCTGGAAACAGGGGAGCTAGTGGTATTGATGGTTTGTTCAGTACGGCATCTGGTTTTGCTGCTGGGTGCAATCGACGGGTCTGTAATCTGTATGCAACACTTCCTTTGTGAATGTCATCATTTCGGTGATGGAATAGATTTTTTCCAATTGCTAGATTTTGTTGTGTATTGTAGATAGCCCTTAGTAGCATAGACATAGGTACATGGCTAGTAAAGGGCAGTAGAGCTCTTCCTTTACCATACCGATTGGCACATGAAACAGCCAGATTTTATTTTCATCAGGAGAAATGAAATAGACCTCTGGGAATTGTTTAGGACAACAGATTCACTTTTGTTGCATAAATTTTAAATGCTGGTCCTTATTATCATCTTAAAAATGGTGATGTATATCCTAGAAGCTTGGAGATAAATTTCCTGATACTGTTGCAATCACTGATATCCAAGTAATCTGTCGTAGGCTTCCAGCAATTTCATCAGTGAATTTTTAGTACTCGAAAGACTTCTAAATTTCTGTGGTTCTTTAACTATGGTGTAGGTCCTCTGCGTAATTGGAGATGTTTCTTTCCTTCATGATACCAATGGCTTGGCAATGTTAAACCGAAGGTACATAATTTGACTCAGCATATTTACCTTACTCTGCTTATACTTTTTGCTTACCACGAAATTATAAAAAATCACCTGAAATGAACTTGGGCCTGGATTGATCATTGACGTGTTAGTTCAGTTCTTCAAACTAACTTTATTGTAGTCTAATTTGCATAACGTTGACCCTTTGTAAAATTTGGTGTTAACAGAAGAAATGTGTTTGGACTTGTTTACTCCATTTCTGATAATCCACTGTATTGAAGGATGTTCCGGAAACCAATGACTGTAGTTGTGATAAACAATCATGGTGGAGCAATCTTCGGCCTTCTTCCTATTGCTGATAGAACCAGCCCAGAAGTTTTGAGTCAGTACTTCTACACCTCGCATAACATATCCATTGAGAAGTTGTGTTTGGCCCACAGGTATCCCAACATGTCACTTGATTTTGAGAATAATTAAACGGACTGAGCTATCTGTTTCTTTCATTTGTATCTATATTATTACCTCTGAAAATAAATAAACTGAATTCATTTCCTTGACTTATAGGTTTTATCATTTATGTGTTATGATATTCTGCAATAATAATCTTTCTAATCACATTTATGTTCTCTCTGCGGAGTCAGTGTCAGGCATTTTCATGTGAAGACAAAAGCTGAACTACGAGATGCTCTGTTCTCATCTCAGGTTGATGAATTGGATTGTGTAATTGAAGTGGAGAGTGGCATCGATGCCAATACAACGTTCCACAGGTTTGCATTGGGCATTTATTCGTTCTTCTTCTTTGGATGCTGTTGATCATTGATGATGTATACTAAGAAATTAGCGGCACTTGTATCAGCACTTTAAGAAAATCTGCTCGCCAAGCAGCCGATGATGCTTTAAGTTGTCTTTCAAGGCTTTCTACCCACAGTTCAGATGGATTCCTTTTCTTCAAGATTCACAAGATGGAGTATTCCTTGTATAGGTAAAACTACCTTAGGAAGTGTACTTGTTCCTTGTAACCCCTGATTTTGTGGCATGCACTTATTAGCGGATTTCAAACTATTTGTGTCAACAGAATTGAACTCTGCGCACCTACTTCGGCTTCCTCTATGAATGGGAGAAATGATATTCATAAACATGGATATGTCCTGGCTTTGTCCCTGGAAGATGGAACTGTTGGTTATGGTGAGGTTGGTTCGAATATTTGTTTTGCGAATAGTATTTTAGTTAGATTTTTAATGTTTGATTTGGTTGAACCTTGAATATTTGGACAAGTGCAAGTTTCCGATAAGCACATCTTAATTTAGTGGTAATACAATTAGTCTTGAACCTAGAGATCTCAGGTTCGAATCCCTTAAGTAGCACTTAACTGAAGACAAATCTATATCACCCTTATGAAAAAAATCTTAGTTTAGATGGTACCACTGATCTTGTCTATACCAGGGCATTAATTGAAATTCTACGTATCATCGCTCTCTTTTCTTTTTTCTTTTTTGGATAGATGACAAATTACAGATGACCTGTTGCTTATGTGCAGTTATTCATATTGTAAAAAGTTGCTCATGAACTCATCTTTCGTTGATTGGAATTAGAACGCTGACTAGCGATATGAAGCTCTGTAGTACTTGTAGTTGTCAAAAGGTTGTTTCTTGGCTGCTCCGATGTCCTAGATATATATTTTTATATATTAAAAGTTAGGAAGTATATCTGACTTTGATGCTTCAAATCTTCTATGTGAGGCAGTTATGTTATCTACGACTTTCGAGCTCCTCCCTGTTAAGGACTGTTATCTTTTTTCATATTCTCATGGACAGGTTGCACCTATTGACATCCACAATGAAAGCCTGGCAGATGCAGAAGAGCAACTTCGGTTCCTTTGTCATATCATTGTGGGAGCAAAGATTGAATATCCTCTTCCTTTGCTAAAGGGAGCATTTACTTCTTGGTTGTGGAACAACTTAGGAATCCCGGTAACCCAGGAGCCTCCAGTATTGACTATACTTTTAGATGCCAGTCTACTATTTTTGAAGTTGAATGCATTCATTCACCAATTGCATGCAGGACTGTTCCATCTATCCAAGTGTCAGATGTGGTCTGGAAATGGCCATCCTCAATGCAATGGCAGCCAGGACAGGACTCAGCTTGTTAGACATTCTTCAACCTCACAAAGCAACAGAAGAAATGCATGGCATGTCAAAACATGTTAATCTATGTGCCCTTATCGATTCCAATGGGACTCCCCATGAAGTTGCTAATATTGCTGCATCTTTAGTTGCAGAAGGTTTCACAGTGATAAAGCTTAAAGTAGGCCTTGTCAATCATTGTGATTTTTTGAAATGTTTCTTCCTGAGGGCTCAGATTCTTATATTTCCCATAGATATATCAACATTGGGTGTCAGAGCGCTTTTAATGGTTAAATATAAATTGCTGAAATTGCAGGTGGCTCGTCGGGAGAATCCATTTAAAGATGCTGCAGTTTTACAAGAAGTAAGAAAGGCTGTTGGTAAGCAAATTCAACTCCGCGTGGATGCAAATAGAAAATGGACCTTTGAAGAGGCCATTCTCTTTGGATCTCTTGTAAAAGATTGTGACCTGCAATATATAGAGGTGGGATACTCGGCATTTGTTTCACAATTTCCACGCCCTTTCCAGTATGCTTTTCATCTTGTGGCCAACTATAGAGCAACATTCTCTTTGTTCAGGAACCTGTTCAAGATGAAGGGGAAATAATCAAATACTGCAATGAAAGTGGCTTGTCAGTAGCACTTGATGAAACTATTGACAATCTAACTGGAAATCCTCTTGATGTGCTTGCGAATTATGCTCATCCAAAAGTAGTTGCTGCGGTATGTCAACATTGGAGTATCTCTTTCTCCTTCCATTGACTTGTTGATGATGTCGAGATGCTCATAATTGGCACACTATATAACTGCCGGGAAGCAATTTGATTTTATGATCCTGAAATAATCGTGCATTTGGGTTGACTAGGTTATCAAACCAAGTGTTGTTGGTGGCTTTGAAAAGGCAGCACTAATCGCGCGATGGGCACAACAAGAAGGGAAGATGGCTATTGTTAGTGCTGCTTTTGAAAGTGGATTAGCTCTATCCACATATATGCTTTTCTCTTATTACGTAGACAGGCACCAAGCTGATCTTCACAGAGTTGGACCCAGTCCGTCAATAGCTCATGGCCTTGGAACTTACCGATGGCTTAAGCAAGATATAACCACCCGACGCTTGCGAATGAGTTCTGATCCATGCACTAGGTCAATGGGAGCTTCTACAATTGATGCTATTCAACACTTGGAACAGTTTCAACTTGATGACAGCATTATCTGCAGAACTTTTAATGGAGAGCAAGTTCATAGGTACACCTTAACTGTGAAAACGAACGAGTTATCTTTCTCCATCAGAATGCATGAAGTTGGACAGGCACATGATGTAAGTATGGGGAGCTTGCATTGTGATTTAATGGGAGTCAATTTGGTATTCATGTGTCTCTTATGTTCAATCTGTTTTTGAAGGGAGATATTGTAGTTTTTCTTCATGGATTTCTTGGAACTGGTGAAGACTGGATCCCTATAATGAAGGCCATCTCAGGATCTGCGAGATGCATTTCAATAGATCTACCTGGGCATGGGGAAACAAAGGTGCAAAAGCTTGGCGACATGGAAGAAAATCATGACTGGTCTTTGTCAGTTGAAAGAGTTTCTGAGTTATTGTACAAGTTGTTTCAAGATCTAACTCCTGGAAAGGTCACTCTTGTTGGATATTCTATGGGAGCGAGGATTGCATTGCATATGGCATTACGGCTTGGTGATAAGGTACACTGTTATCAAGTGCAATACTACATTCGATTTGGATATAACAGTAAAATTTTAAAGTAATTTCGTTTTGCAGATCAATGGAGCGGTCATATTATCTGGTAGTCCTGGGCTAAACGATGAAATGGCTAGGAGAATTCGGAGGGCTAAAGACGATTCTAGAGCAAGGAACCTCATTACTTACGGTTTACAGACGTTTCTGACGTCTTGGTACGCTGGGAAGCTATGGAATAGGTGAGTTTATTATAATTGTTATTTCCTTTTTTTTTTTGGTGAGAAAAAAGATGAGCTTATTGGATATTTCTATGTTCCCGACTATTTACGTTTATACATCCTTCAAGTCTTTGACACAACCTGGATGCCTGCGTGTTCCTCCTTTCAAACAGCTTGAGATGTCATCCTCATTTCAAGGAAGTCGTCGACAGTCGCTCTCTTCATGGTGATGCTCAGAGCCTTGCAAGTGCTCTATCTGACTTAAGCATAGGGAGGCAGGAGTAAGTCTGGAGGAACAACAATTCCCTTTTCCTTCGTACTCTGCTGCAGCCAAACATTGGTAGAAACTAAGTTGCCTTGCACTTCGGAACTTCTCACGTCTCTTTCTGACAGGCCATTGTGGGATGACTTAAAGCACTGCAAATTACCCTTACTGTTTGTCGTGGGAGCACAAGATGATAAATTCAAGGCGATTGCACAACAAATGCTCGAAGAAGTTGAGCAAGGTCAGAACGAGGGAGGTGCCACAGGCAGTAACACCAGTGAGATACTTGAGGTACAAGAAAGCGGCCATGCTGTCCATTTGGAGAACCCTCTTCCTCTCATCCGTGCACTGAGACGATTCATGACCAGAGTAAGGAATAGCTGTGGTTGAGACTTGAGACTCGAATCAAGTAGATGCGGGAACAACCTGCCTGTGACAAGATGTGAAGGCGGCAAAACTTAGCTAAAGGCATTGGCTCCATCTTCTTCTCAGCACATGATCTTGAACTTCATACCGTCTCACAACTTTTACCAGTCCTGATTATGGAAGGGGAAGAACGATATAAAATGAAATTAGAACGATGACTTTGGTGGCGAAAGGGCTCTTTATTCCAAATTTTATTGGGTGTTGACTTTACGTCTCGGCATAGGACGTTGAATTGGCTACTCGATCTTTTATCAGACGAAGGGGTGGAAATTGGGGTGAGTGTGGTTACATGCCACACATTTTGCGGGTAACCACACTCACAAGTCACAAATATAGAATTATCTTACCCACATCCTGCTGAAGGTTGGTGCGAGTTAGTTGTGGATACCCACAAAAATTTCACATGAAATATAATAATATGGTAATTAATTAGTGATGTTGTGTTTCTTCTCAAACAAAAACATACATAAAAGAAAGTTAATAAAGTGTTAAATAAATTATAAATCTTGAATACAATAGGTTACTTAGTGTAAATCTAGAAGAGATAAATTTGGAAAGACATTTGAAGATAATAGAGAGGCGGAGTGACTTGTTACCAGACAAACATAGTTGCATGTCACGGCTCCTCCGATGGTAACAACAGCAAAACATAAAAGTGGCTCGATAAGTGGAGGCGCTAACTTTTAATGAATCGATTATTCTCCACTCTCGATTATAGTATTGTATTGTTGGTAGCTGGTTGCATGTTGTGTTGTTCGTGAGTTCGTAGAGAAATGGAGATGAGTTTGGGTATCAGACTAATCTTTATCGATTATTCTCTCTTTTAACGAATCGATTAATTTATCTGATTAGATCTATGGACTTGATTTTGTTATAAAATAAACATATACCACACATACAATGCTTATTTGACAAAATTATATCACATGAACATTGCGTATTAACTTGTTTTTTTTTATAGAATAAATGCATATTTGATTTTGGTAGCTACTTTAATTCTTAGTCTTACAAGTTTCACAAACTAATATAACTAATGTGGTTAATAAGGGTTACAAAGTATTTTGAAGAAATAAATATAACTAATGTGGTTAACAACTACCCACAAAAATCAATATTTTGCTACCCACACCCAACCCACTATCCACAAATTATGAGTATGCGTATCCACAAGGTGTGCGGTTTACAGGTTATCCGCAACCTGCAAACCAAACTTCCACCTCTAAGACGATACGAGTTATATTTTATTAAACGTGAAAGGAATAAGAAATTGATCATAAAATGAACAAAAAACTGAAAAGAAGACATGATATGTTATACTGTTATAGTATGGGGCTCACTCCCTTTCAATAACAAAGTGAAATTCCCCAACAATGGAGCCAAAATTTGATATGTTATGGTATGAGGCTCAAATATAATTGGTTGGTAATCAAGACCATATTCCCATGAGACCTTTCAAATCCTGCAACTCATTCCGTAACGATCTTGTTATCTTTGAAAAATCTTATTTGAGGTTGAGGTGTCTCAAGTCTGTAACCATTTTGTAAAAGTAAAGAGTGCATAAAAAGAAATATCAGTGAAGGAAAGAAGAAAAGCACAAAAAAGGAGGCATTGTATAGGCAAATTAACTTCCTCTTAAGAGTTTTCTAAACAAGTGTTAGCACCAGAGCCCTTCTAGTGTGCTCTATAGCACCCATGCTATAAAAAAAAAAAAAAGTGACCTCTTGAGGAGGTAAACCCACTAAATGACTGGTCCCACATCATTAATGGCAATTTTGTAAATAATGAATCAATGTATACAAGTGTAGGTACAAATTAGAGTTGTACCATATAGTATAGGTACAAGTTTCAGCTGTACCATTGAAGAATTTGTTTCACAAAGTGTAGGTACAACTTAAAGTTGTACCATTAGTATAGGTACAATTTTTAGTTGTACCATAAGGGATTTGTTAGAAAGTGTAGGTACAACTTAAAGTTGTACCATGGTATAGGTACAAGTTCGGGTTGTACCATAAAAGAATTTTGAGAAAGTGTAGGTACAACTTAAGGTTGTACCATTAGTATAGGTACAATTTTTAGTTGTACCATAAGGGATTTGTTAGAAAGTGTAGGTACAACTTAAAGTTGTACCATGGTATAGGTACAAGTTTGGGTTGTACCATAGATAGGGGTGGGCAACGGGAAACGGGTATTTGGGTATACCCGTACCCGTCCCGTTTTTTAAGGGTTACGGGTATCCATATTACCCGTATTATTATAAACGGATGGGACTTGGGATTGTACATTCCTAATATGGGTACCCGCGGGTTACCCGCAAATACCCGTTTGGTAATGTGGGTACCCGTTATACCCATTTACCAAAAATAGCCCACAGCCCAACACCCCAACCCAATTCACTAATTCAGAAATGTGGCATTGGGCCTTGGCTATTTCGGCCCTTAACCTTAGTCGACCCTTACCCTGCCTAGCTGCCTATTCCCTTTCGGCTTTCACTTAACTGTGAGACAGTCAGACAGCGAGAGTGTGAGACAGCGTCCTCCACCCAGCGCAGCCGCAACGCCAGCCTCAGCGACAGGCCGACAGCGAGATTCTGGACTCTAATTACTAGTTAGGTTTGTTATCTATTTAGGTATGCAGCTGCCATTCTCTTTTCTTTCCTACTTACAGTACATATTCTGGACTCTAATTACTAGTTAGGTTTGTTCTGCTAATTACTAATTATGTTTCTAATTTCCAGCATCTGTCTATTTGGTTTATGTTGATTTGGTTTATAGTTTCCATGGCTAATCAAGGGAATGAAGCCAGTCAAGGGAATGAAACTTTGGGTATTTATGGGTATTATGGGTACCCGTTATCCGTCCCGTACGGGTAATGGGTACCCGTTTCCCATATGGGTTTGGGACATGGGAAGGACTTTGGCCTCCAAATGGGACTGGGTACCCGTTTAAAACGGGACGGGTATCCCGTCCCGTCCCGTTGCCCACCCCTAACCATAGAAGGATTTTTAGGAAGTGTAGGTACAACTTAAAGTTGTACCATGGTATAGGTACAAGTTTAGGTTGTACCATATAAGGATTTTGAGAAAGTGTAGGTACAATTTAAGGTTGTACCATTAGTATAGGTACAATTTTGAGTTGTACCATAAAGAGATTTATTAGAAAGTGTAGGTACAATTTAAAGTTGTACCCTTAGTATAGGTACAATTTTGAGTTGTACCATAAAAGGATTTGTTAGAAAGTGTAGGTACAACTTAAAGTTGTACCATTGTATAGGTACAAGTTTGGGTTGTACCATAAAAGAATTTTGAGAAAGTGTAGGTACAACTTAAGGTTGTACCATTAGTATAGGTACAATTTTTAGTTGTACCATAAAGGGATTTGTTAGAAAGTGTAGGTACAACTTAATGTTGTACCATGGTATAGGTACAAGTTTGGGTTGTACCATAGAAGGATTTGGAGAAAGTGTAGGTACAACTAAAAGTTGTACCATTAGTATAGGTACAATTTTGGGTTGTACCATAAAGGGATTTATTAGAAAGTGTAGGTACAACTTAAAGTTGTACCATTAGTATAGGTACAATTTTTAGTTGTACCACAAAGGGATTTGTTAGAAAGTGTAGGTACAACTTAAAGTTGTACCATGGTATAGGTACAAGTTCGGGTTGTACCATAAAAGAATTTTGAGAAAGTGTAGGCACAACTTAAGGTTGTACCATTAGTATAGGTATAATTTTTAGTTGTACCATAAAGGATTTGTTAGAAAGTGTAGGTACAACTTAATCAAGCTGATCATCCATCAACTTCCTATGTGAACAAGAAAAATAGATCATTGAGGAAATCGAGATGTTGAAAACAATTAAAATGCAAGTTAATAATTATTCCCCCTCTAATTAGTTCAAAAAAAAAAAGGGAAATGGAAAATTTCAGTCTTGGAACCTAGTTTTCTCCCAAATTGCATTCCGGACCCTACTCAGATCCCTCCCTTTCAAAGTCCTCCCCACGCCTTCGTGGACGGAGAAGGACGCGATCCTCGTCCTCGCCATCTGCCTCGCCAGGAACTCGTGCGGCGGCACCCCGCCGTTGCCGTAATCGTCCCCGCCGCCGTCCAATTCCTCGTCCTCGTCGTCGAAGGGATCCCTGCTGCGGCGGTTCTCGCGGTACTCCTCCTTCAGAATCTTCGACCAGTCCGGTATGTTGACCGGCAGCGACGACGCGGCGGACTTCGCCGCCGTTGCCGTTGACTTCTTGTTGATCCTGGACCCGACCTTCCGGAACTCCGGCGAGTCAGGGAGGTGGCTGTGGCGGTCGTAGACGTCGGACTCGTCGAGTTCGAAGTCGTGGTGGTGGTGGCTGTGGAGGTGGTGGGGGTGGTGGTTCTGATCGAGGAATCGGTAGTTCTGCCTGGCTAAGTAACTCTTACTGGCAGCCATTGAAATCGGAAAGTAGAAGAAGGAGATTGAGAAGCTGATAAGATCACACACAGAGTCTCCGGATTGAAAGTTTCAATTCGTTCTAATTTTAGGGATTTAGTTTCAATTCGTTCTAATTTTCGGCGATCGAGATGTTGGAGCTTTCCACGTCGGCCGGCGGGCAGAAATCGAGGGGGGAGTTGGGGATCGAAGTGCCGGGGAGGAATTTCGGGGAAGAGCCGTCGTCGTCGGCGGTGGCGGAGTCTCCGGCGAGTCAGGGGTTCAGGTCGCCGATGAGCCGGATGCTTTCGTTTAATTGGTGAGAAGACAACCGGTTGTACCGGTTATCCACACACAAATAAAATAATATATTAATAATTTAAATATAATCTAATGGTTGATATAGTTTGAACATGATCTAATGGCTGTAAATGTTTTATAGTACCAATACTATAAAGCACACTAAAATGCCTCGTTAGCACCAAGATTAACATATATCCAGGCAATGCAGTCAAAATCGTGATTCTAGATAGAAGCGTTTTGGTGATATAAAAGCGTAAAAATGTGAGCTTTTAAGCTTTACAACATAGATTTTTTTCTACTTTTACAAGTGAAAGTGCGATTCTATGTAGAAGCGTTTTGGTGACCTAGAAATGTAAAAGTGTAATATTTTAAGTTTTAAACCGCGATTTTAACTGCATTGTATACAGGTGCTTGAAGCAACTCACACGGATTCCTCTACTCACTATTTTCCAATGGACATTGCTATTCGTCGCCGTAAAATTCCTTATTTGTCGCCCTAATTAATTTAAGTTTACTTTAATGCCCTCAATTCATTTATTTGTATTTCATCATTCTCACCCGATAATTTGTAGAGTTAAGGTGTTCATCCACGTATTTCTCAAGCCCAAAAGCTCTGAACGATCATTCTCCTTACCATTTAATCAAGTACTCAAAGTTGTTTTGCCTTTTGTGTAGGACACGATGCTCTTGCTGCAAAACCATAATGGCAATTAATAATATTTATAAGTATATGTACAAATGGTTACAGTAAATATATACATGAAAGCTGTTCTGTATCCTTCTTCCTCCTACTCATCAGCGCCAACAGAAGGAGTAGTACGACCTTCTTCTTCGTTCTTCTTCCGCCTGCTTGGGAGGAACTCCGACAACGACAACAATAACAGAGGAGGTGGGGCGGCCTTCTTCTTCCTTTTCCTGTTTGGGATCAACTCGCGCCGTAGAAAAAGAGCATCAGCGACAATCGGGTTGAGGTGGGCAGCGCTGGAGATAAGAATCCGGCAACGGCATGAGGCAGCAGCGGTCAGAGGACGAAAGAGCTCGGCTCGCCGACCGCGAGGCACGAGATTTTTTGTTTAGGGTTTATGTTAAAATTGGGACTAGGGGTAAGAATGTCAGTTTAATGCTTTTTAGGGCGATAAAATTTAAAATTTAGGGAGACGAATAGTGATTCAGTTTTCGAATATCCTATCATCAATGGTTGGTCACTGAGATTACAAAAACGTTCGTGTTTTGTCACTGGAAATATTTAAATCCAATCTTGGTCACTCAAATTAGTTAAATGGTTCAAGTTTGGTCACTCTCCGTCCATTTTCGTTAACTCTAGCTTACGTGGCAGTCAACTTTCATAATTGACCGTTAAATACGTGACATGGCAATTAAAAAATTATTAAAAATAAAAAAAATATTTCTTTTGCCTCTCCTTCATTCATAGGAGAGAACAAGACATTGATGAAAAAAATTCTCCTTAGAATGTTTCTTTTGCCTCTCCTTCATTCATTCGAGCCCCTTTAATAGAGTAAAAGTCCCAAGTCCTAAAATTGAAAAAGTACATCGATTGATTGATTTTCCTATTTTCTACTGATGTCCGATATTGACGTGATCTCATTTCTAGTACAGTACTTATCAATACCAAATATAAATGGTTACGTATGCTTTATGGCTTCTCCATGGACTAAGAGTCCATCATATTAACCCTACAAAATATAAATTGAATGATATTTTATGCATAATGTAATGAAAATACGTTACCAATAATATTGGTTCAATTCTATTTGCTAAATTGAGTAAAGAACTTTGGTCGTTATGGAAATAAAGATATCCATAATATAAATGGTTACGTTACGTTGCTGAATGAATTGATTTATATAATAAGTTATAACCTGTATAATCATAATATGCTGTGTAACGACAAGACATAAGTGAGGAATTTTTTTTATCCATGTCTGTTTGATTCCGAATTTCTTTTTTCCTTCTCTCGTAACCGATAGAATTGGAATAACTGCAAGTACAACATTAATAATTCATTTACAAATTACAAAAATGTGCAAACCAATTATATAAGTTATATATAGTGGAGAAATTATTGACAAGTTCCTTGAAAATACAAACATATTACCACCTTCTGGAAGTGATCGAAAGAAGATATGGATAATTGGACCAAGTTTTATGAAATTTTATTTTTGACATTGTTGCTACAAGGTGAAGTTATTTACCTTTCAATATATGTCTTATCCATTTTTTCCCCACATTATCAATAAAATATTATATCAAAGCGCGTAAATTTGGAATTATGTTCTTTCTGAAATTGAAGTAGATAGATCAATTTACGAGCATAGCTATTTACTTGACAGGACTAGCAGTAAAAGCAGAAATAATGCCACCAAGCTGCACAAGGGATGTTGATTGCACATGGTACTGCATCAGAATTCAACAAGGGATTGCTCTTTGCAACAATCAACGCTCTTGCATTTGCTTGCCAAAAGTGCATCATCGTCCTCATTTTATTTACACACCACAGCCTTCAAGCCCACTGCCATCGCCCTAACCAATGTGTCCATTCCATGCACCCTTATTGAGATGTAAAGTAAAGATAGGCAAATGAAATTTGCCTTCCCTGTATTAGTTGCCCTATTTAATTGTAAAAGGTCTAAAGATTTGTCCTATATAACTCAGCAGGAAAAAAAAAAGGAGAGATTTAAGAAAAAAGGCCAAGAATCTGTCGATTTCACATGTTACCAAAGCAATAAAGAACTGCTCATGCTTCCAAAGGCTTGAAGATAGATGAGCCAGTGATAACACCCCAATTGGTGTTTCTTGTTTTTTATTTTTAGGTTTGTTTTGTGCTAATTCATGTGAATAATCAGAAGAATATCATTAATTGCATTCATATTATATTCCTATTTGATTATGTCGTGATTTTAGGGTGCTTTAATTTAGACGATATAGGTGAATTAGGTATGAAAAAGGGTATAAGTGTAGCAAAATGGGCAGGAAGCTGATGATCACGGCCTGAAGGGAAAGATCTCGGCCGAGAAAGCAGACTACAAAACAGAGGTGAAGATCGCGGTCTGAGAACCCAAGTTTGCGGCCGCGAAATTGGAGCCTTTGGACGCGAACATCGTGAAGAAGCCAACTGAGGGAGAAGAAAAAGTTTCATCATTATGATCACGGTCACCGACTCTCCTGATCGCGAGGAAGTTTGCGGCAGAGACTCACGGATCGCGACCGTGAAGTCAGTCCGCGAACTCCCAGCAAACGAAAACCAAAACGGGACGCCTGAAGATCGCGGTCTCGGAGGAAAAGATCACGACCGCGATCTCCCCCTGCTTGGCCGTAAACTTGTCCGTCCCCCTGAAGTCTAAATAAATGACCTCTTCCCCCATTTTAAGAGAGCTGATTTTGAGATAGAAATTTCTGGTTTAGGGAGAGAGAGGAGTCATATTCCTCAACATTAAGTCTTCCCCAAATTCTTCTATGTATCTTCTTCCCTCCTTTATGGAGTAGTCTCTTAAGGGGTACTAGGGGTTCTAAACCCCAAACCCTAGTTTTAGGGCTATTATGTAATAAATGAATATGTTAGGATTTTGAATAAATTTGTTTGTCTAGTTGATTTTAATGCTTCATCTACTTTAATTGTGCTTGGGTAAGTCGCCATAATCTTCTCTGCTAGCCTACTCGAGCTTCTACGCTAAGTATGGAGTTTTAGCGTTAGACGGGTATGCACCATCTGTCAAATTAGGGTCAGATGATTACATAAGGTCTTAATGTGGATGAGGCGACCGTACCCCTGCCACAAGAATACCTTCCTAGATAGAACACAGAATGAACCTCAGTTGGACGGTGGGTAGTGCCCTTTGAAATGAGCTGAGTTCTTCAAGCCCCATATACGTGAGCCTATACCGAGGTGACAATGGGGTAGGTAGGGTGTACTTGGAGGCGTGTTGATAATCACGAAGGTGCACGGAAAAGAGCTCACTCACCACATTCGCTTAACCCGACATGTTTAGTCATTTGCATAATAGACCTAGGCAAGGGCGATGATTGGTTCCCCGACGTACCTGCTTTTATCCTTGTTTGTTCTCTCTACTAATTATTTCACTTGAATCCTCTAACAAAATCCCCTTAAATTGATTGGCTAGATAACAACAACGCGGGAAGTAGACTAGGATATCGGGACCCGAGTAAATACGACCTTGATTCCCACTATATGACAATGCCGTTTTTGGTAAACTTGGCCTAAAAAGGGGTAGTTATTGCTACGTGCAAACTACTGAAAATGACCTGCACCGAATGAATTGATCATGCTTTTTGGCGTCGTTGCCGGGTTGGAATGGCAACGGGTCATGTTTGGGACGGGTACCCCTAAACCCGTGCCTTGCCCTGCCCTGCATTCTAACCCGTGGCCCCGCCCTGCCCCGCGACCCACAACAGATCGTTGTTTTCTGACCCAGAATGTGCCTCGCACGGGGCGGGTAAAACCCGCCCTGCCCCATTTTAATTTTCCAACCTATAATATAACCAATGCATCGTGTACCAGGCATGCACCCTACCCCATTTTTAGTTCCAAACCTTTGATTTTGCATCATCATTCCTCTTAACTTGTAATATAACATACAATCCATAATGAAAATTCAAATTCCAAACTCCATTCATCATCAACCAAAATCATCTCTCAAGCCTCCTCTAAGAACTGAAATCCGAATCCAAAAGGATGTTGCACAAACCATAAGTATTCATAAGAACATTAGAAGTTGATCAGTTGAAAAATATAGAAAGTTCAAACTTCATTATGACTTGCAATAGTTGTAGCCGGAAGCAAGCTTTCTTAAGTCTCTAGAACAGCAAACAAATCCTCTCCAGCCTCCCATAACTTTGAGTATCATTAGCCTACAATACTTATACATTAACATGACCAAGGTAAACACATATGTAAGATTGTAAGTGCAATTGAAAGGGAAACAAATGCATAAAACAGAATAGTTGCTGCACGTACATGTGCAGATGTAGCAGCCATCAAGCCTTCCCAAGTCTCCAAAATAGCAAACAAATCCTCTCCAACCTCCCCTATTTTGAGTATAATTGACCTGCAAGTACATATGCATAAAACATGAACAAAGCAAACACAAATATAAGATTGTAAGTGCAAATAAAAAGGAAACAACCAAACATTCATGGAGCATCCAAATACCATTGCAATTGAGAAGTAAAATGCCATGGAATCAATACCTCAAGATCATTCTTTTCCTCTCCATCAGAATCCTCAAGTACTGTACCATGTGAGGCCTTCTCTACAGTGGAAACAACTACATTCATATATAAAACAGTTAGAAAGAGTCCTAAATCATGTATACGTGAAGGAAAAATCTTTTGGAATTATGATAGTGATTACCTTCACCTATGGAAGTAGAACGCAGTCAGCTTTGAGCACACATCAACCATTCTATAGTATCTGGATCCAGCCTACACAAATATAAGATTGTAAGTGCAAATGAAAAGGAAACAACCAAACATTCATGGAGCATCCAAATACCATTGCAATTGAGAAGTAAAATGCCATGGAATCAATACCTCAAGATCATTCTTTTCCTCTCCATCAGAATCCTCAAGTACTGTACCATGTGAGGCCTTCTCTACAGTGGAAACAACTACATTCATATATAAAACAGTTAGAAAGAGTCCTAAATCATGTATACGTGAAGGAAAAATCTTTTGGAATTATGATAGTGATTACCTTCACCTATGGAAGTAGAACGCAGTCAGCTTTGAGCACACATCAACCATTCTATAGTATCTGGATCCATCCTACTTCGATGAGAAGAAATCACCCTACCACTAGTGCTAAAAGCAGATTCTGATGCCACTGTAGAGGCAGGAATCACCAAAACGTTCCTTGCAACCTTATGTATTATAGGATATTTACTTCTATTTGACTTCCACCAACACAAAACATCAAAATCAGGTGTGTTGAGTATAATTCCATCTTCCAAGTAACAATCCAACTCTAATCTAGTTGGCTTCCTTTTCCTTCTAGAAGCATATAGAGCAAATTTGGTTGATGATTCCTTTTGACTTGCAGCAGCTCCTAAACTGTCCATTTGAACTCCATCATTTGCCTTATCTTGCTCTTTTTCCTTCTCTTCGTAGTCTTCAACTAGTTTACGACATATACTAATCATCTTCTCCATTTGCCACTCACTATCCTCACCATAAATCTAAGGAAAGTAGCAATCCATTACTTCAGTTTTATACCTTGGATCAAGTATAGTTGCAACCCCCATCAAAGAATGCACCTCGGACCAATATTTGTCAAACTTATCCAACATGTTCATTGCCATAATCTCAATGATTTCAGTTCCACAAGCACACCACTGCCTTAAAGCAATCTTAAGCTCACAAATAACTTCGAAACATAAGTTGGCAGTTGGATATTTAGTGCCAGAAAAAAGGACAGGGGCACTATAAAACTTCTTTAGCTTACCACAAATCTCTTCTGTCAACTTCCAATCACCCTCAGTAGGCAAACACTTGTACTTTGGCTCCCGATTCTTTAACCGATTAAAAACTTCTTTATACCCCGAAGCAATATTCAACATCAAATAAGTTGAATTCCATCTAGTGTCACAGTCAAGTACAAGCTTCTTACCGCCTTGATAACGAATCACGTGTGCAGCCTCTAGCTGGTGAGTAGTCTCCACAAACTTCTCCCATCTCTTAGTGTCGCCAGCCAGAATTTAACACTCTCTCTAATTCTTTCTATGCCATCTCCAATCACCATAAGACCTTCTTTGACAACAATATTCAATATGTGTGCACAACACCTCATATGGATCATACTTCCATTGACCAAGAGAGACTCTAAAGGAAGCTTCTCGATTAGTCGATTCATCATTGCGTCATTCGTCGAGTAGTTATCAACTGTGATAGCTGATAATCTATGATCGAGGTTCCAATCTAGTAAACAATCAAACAAAGCTTCACAAAGGACTTCACTAGTGTGAGGGGTAGGTACATAAATGAACCTGTAAATCAAAGACGACACAATTAACAATTTAAATAAACTTAAACAGTAGTAACAAGTAATCAAATAATGAGAGTGGGTAGTAGTAATTAGAAGGCAGCAGTACGACACTAATCACATTAAAATGTTGTAGAACATTTTTGTGTACATGTTCTCCTAAGTAGTCAAAAGGCAGTAAGCAAAAGTAGTATTTCACAAGTAATCAAATACTAGGCAGTAGTATTTACAAGGCAGCAGTACAAGTAATCACATCACATCTCTTTATATATACTAACACAAGACAGTAGTACAGAAAGGAACAAGGGAACAAAGTTCACATAAAGGAAATTCCCAAACACATTGGGAATTTGAAAAACTTAAATAGCATGTACAAGTAAACACTAGCTAGCTTCAAAAGCAAATTGCTATCTGTTGCAATACAAGCAATGAAGTACTAATCATAAGTAGGAAGAGCATCTGACTTACATAAGACCACTTTTTCCCTTCTTCCCATCTTTTACTTGATTAGTTGATTTGAGATCAGTTTAGCAAGAAGACCATCTTTAAGTAGTAATCACAAGCAATCATGTACTGTAATAAGGGAAGTAAGTACTAGCTAGCTATGAAAACCAAAAAGTACCTGATAATTCGACTTTGTAAAGTCCAATTATTATTGATATAGTGTGCAGTCACTGCTATGAAACCCTTATTTTGAGAAGATGTCCACATATCTGTGGTAATTGACACTTGACCTTCGTTCTTCCTTAAAAGCTCCATTGCAGCTTGTTTTTCTAGATCATAAATGCCAAGGCAATCTTTCTTTATGGTGTTTCGGCACACCATCTTAAAGCATGGATTCAAACTCATGCTGTAACTCCTAAAACCTCCATGTTGCACGATTGATAGAGGGTACTCATGCCTTATAATTTCCCTAGCCAGTTCTTTTCGAGAGTTCTCTTGACTAAAGTTGAACGGCGTCAACTGGAATTTATCCTTATTCAAATTTCCTTGCAGGAGTTGTTGTTTTTATATCTATAGGCTACTTCACTTTAGGACACTGATAGTAATGATTCTTCAGATGAGTTGTTCCATTTAATGGGTCTCCAACCAACTTCTTCTTGCAATACTTACACTCAGCTTTTTGCTTGCCATCCATTGTTAGCTTGTTGTAGTGTTTCCACCACTCCGAGAATACCTTACCAGACGTAGGACCCTTGTGCTTCTCCTTCTTATCAGTTGCAGGTAGGGCTTCATCAACAACACGAATAACATCAGGTTGAGTGTCTTTAGCAGGATCAGATTGACGTTGGGAAGCTGTTGACTCCACATTCAGAACAACAGATTCAGTTTGAGGCTCCTCCATGTCTTGTACAATTTGAGGTCCCTCTTTTTCCGTTCGTAATTGTAAGATGGACAGGGTTCAATTAGTGAATAAGATTAATTCAATTTTTCATAAGTAGAAAAAAAGACAGCAGCCAAATTTGCAGCAATTTTGCAGCACCCAAACAAAACTCAACACAATTGTAGTTAGCTAGAGAGCTGTGTGCGAAAAAGCTCTTGTATTCAAGGAAATGGACAGTGTTTCTCTTGTTTGGCAGCTTCATTGCTGGGATGCTCTTCACAAATAGGTGACTTCACTAAAACTCTTAACTAGTAGAATTGCTATTGTACCCATTGCTCTAGTTGATTGAAAGTTTCTAATTTTTATCTAGTTGAGGAAGGGTTTTGTAATTCATATCAATAATTCCAGTGGTTTGTGCGGATATAGTTGGTGAAGAAATAGTTTGTTATAATTTTGCAGCAGCTAAACAAAACTCACCACAGTAAACACTCGAAATAGACCAAAGAAAGTAGAAAACTAGGCCAAGAAGGATTTATATTTACCTCACCACTTAATCGTTGCTGACCTCCTTGCTAGAAAGTCGAAATATGTGAGTTTTCCTATTTTTCTTCTATTTCACTTCCAACGGCGTTGTTGAAACTCGGAAGAAGAAGAAGAAAAGAAAATAGAGAAGAGGAAGAAGAATGGCGTAGTTATATGAGAGCCCTCTCCCATCTTCAATTCAATGCTCGATAAAGCCATAAAGGGGAGTTGGAAATTAGGGAAGAAGATGAATCGTTAGAGGCACAACGGTTGGGACGGCGAGATTGGGTTAATGGATTTTGCGGAGAGAATTCTCTTTGGAAGATTAGTTGGCTGGGAGTGGGTGTGGAATTCTCTCTTTGGCTTCACAGATGCTTAATCGACGGGGTGGAGCAGTGTCGAGCATGTTAGGTGCCAAGATCCATATCCGATCTGTATAAATGGCAGAGCGGGTCGAGATCCGCCCCGTTCAAATACGGGTTAGATTTTATCCGCCCCATTACAGGTCGGATCGGATAAAATCCACCGGCGACCGGGCGGATCTAGTTTGCCATCCCTATTGCCTGGGAACCTCGATAACTAGTAGAAAAACATCGAGTTTGTTAGTTTAGCCTTTATTTTCTTTATGTTTTATTATCTTAGTAGTTTAATTGTTTTGTGTTTTGTTATCCAACTTTGTACGCCACGAGTTGTGGAGTTTTTATATGTTTATAGACCTTATAGCATGGATCGAAACGAGTTAGAACGCATAGTGGAGAGGAATATCGATACACTTAGCCAACAACATCAATTCCTAAGAGGAAATGGCGAAAGTACTCTCGATCATATGTCGTACTTCTTAAGTGCTGCCAAAGCTGTGAGGATACCAGGGTACACTCAAGATCAAATCAATGATATTTTATTTGCTTACACTTTGCGAGGGGAGCCCACCATTTGGTATAAGGAATTTCAAGCTACTTTCCCACTGTTGAGTCAAGTCAGGAAACTTTCGTGTATTGGTATCTTGCCGGTACAATAACCGTTATACAGAAAAATAATATTGTCACCTTCCACAAAGGGTTCAAGAGAATTTCCAATAGGCTTTGGAACGTTTTGGTGTTCTGACACAACTGAATTCGAATAATGGACATTTAGAAGACCGCCTCAATGAGATTTTTTTCAATGGACTCCAATTACAAGGCGATCATCGAAAGGAGGTATCCAACTGGATTTTGATATAATGACCTTGAGCAAGGGAAGGAACTATGTAGTCAAATAGAGAGTAGGCTATTCAGAGTGAGATCAACGAAATTAACAGAGAGCTAAAGGAACTTACAAGAGAGGGCGATAAGGATTCAACTCGGGTAGAACAGAGTCTTCACACTCAACACGAGAGTACCTCATCAGTCTAGTCCCTCTCCCCCACCTTTAGAACATCCTCAAGACCACACCACTAAAGAACCTTGTGGGCATCGCATTGGGTTTCAATTTGTCGTCAACGAATGAATGATTTAGATCCATTTGTTCATGCCTCTAAAACACAACTAAATTCATCGAGGGCAGAGAACAAAGTGGTCGTGGACACCCTAAAGATTATATCTTCCTTAGTTGGGCTCTTGGAGAAGATTTTATTTGAAGGAAACCAAAAACCTGACGGGAAGCAAGGTAAATCATGAAAGAGTGAGCTGGCCATTATTCCGGAGCCCATGACTGTCAACCCAAATATGAAGTTTGATCAAGGGAAGAAGGAGGACGTAGCCCGAGATGTTTCACTATCTATGCCTGCCATCCAGGAAGCCTCAGAGCTTGCCAAGTATGTAGAATGCATAGAGAATTTGGTGGCCACCAAACAAGAATTCGATGAGCTAACAATTATCGACATAGGCCAAGCTTATCCGGTGTGCAGTCAGCATGAAACCCCGATTCAGAGAGACGACCCGAGCTTATTCACCATACCATGCTCTATTAAGGGGGTTACTATTAAAGATGTTATGGTGGACCTCCTCTCGGATCTCAATGTGATAAGCGTTGACTTGTATCAAGCTTTGAGGTTGCAGATCCTGAGACCGACAAACATGGCCATACAATTGGCTAATAAATCAATAGCTTACCTCGTGGGAATTATAGAGGATTTATTAGTAAGAGTTGGGACGTTTGTTTACCCGGTGGACTTTGCGGTGGTGGACGCGGGACCAAAAGCTCCGACTCATATTTTACTTGGAAAATCTTCCTATAAACCATTAGAGCTATGATTGAGGTCCCCAAAAGGGGATTAAACATGGAGTATGGTGATGAGAGGTTGATCATAAACCTCTCCAATGATAGAAGAGGAGGTTCACCAACGTTTGCTTCTTATACAAGGTCAAATTCTCCAACTACTCAAATTCCTCCCAGTAAACCAATTCTGGCTCCTACTCCAACACAACCTCCTCAAACAAGCAAAGAGGTACCCCTAGAAGAGAGAAAGGCAAATGATCTAAACCTCATAAGATTTTTTAAGGAAGCCACCCAATCTTCAACCCCTAATCAGGATGTCGCACTGAATTTAACTTCAGAGTAATTAGTCAAGAGGAGCACCGAAAGGCTCCATGGGTTACACTTACGCCCTCACCATACGAGTGTTTTAATTTAACGGCACCGCACACAGTGATAGAGAATCTTTCACTTGATTATATCTCTTGATCAAAGAGTCCAGCAAAAAGACTTCAAATACGCACTTGTTGGGAGGTACCCAACACTTCAGTTTGTTTTTCATTCACTTTATATTCTTAAATTAATTCTTTCTAGAACTGCTTTGATTAGGCACCCTGATCCGGTACTCTAAACCGCGAAATATTTTTTAACTTCTAGCCAAATGGTAGAATTCGAGTTCTTTAGATCACAGCATCTTACGAAAAGTTCGCAGCCGCGATCTAGCGCGTGCTCGTGGTGAAAACCTCATCTGGTGGGATATGCGATTTTTACTCTTCTTCTCCCTACTTTTCTTCTCTTTTGATATGCTCTCCTCTGATATGGTTCTCTAATACCCACCTTAGCCTACCATGAGAGTGAACAATTGTCGGTTAGATTAGAACTAATTCAAGGTGGCACTTTCGTTCTTGTGTACATACCTAAGGTCAGGGCTTTTAATTTACTCTCAAGATGAATTGTCAGGATACTCTCTTTGGTTGCTACCTTGTCATGTACCTAATGTTATATTTTGGCAAGATGTGTTTGTGTTCTTTTCTATTTTTTCCTACTCTTGGGTTTGGAGTGATTCTAGTGGGCAGAAAACTCTTAGTTCCTCTTGGGTGCTACCCTTTGGTTGAATTTTTTTTACCCAATTTGAACCAAAGGTTGCTAAGGAACCTTATAGCTTGTTGTCTATTTTGCATTTCTCTTGTGATGATATTTTTATGCGTATCTTTTCCACCACCTCCTCATGACTTTGGACTTTCCACATCTTTAACCCTTCTTTTATCCTTGTGGTTCTAATCTAATGAGAATTCTATCTAGTTTTTGTCAAGGGATGGGTAAGTCAAAGAAGATTCCTGAGTCATCAATTTCAATCAAAGGAGGAAAGAGAAAACCTCATCCATACCTTGAATTCGAAGACAAGACAAGGCCAAATATGCACACTTTGCTCCACGAACCTATGGGGAGCATCATTGTATATCTTGGGAACTTTTGGAGGAATTTGGAGCTACTGCCCCCATTCAAGCTCTTATTCAAGACCCTACATGGCACAATCTTTTGACAATCAACAGTAATATTTATGTGGAGCCAACTCTTGAGTGTTTGACCACCTTGAATTGCTCGGTTCTAAGCATCAATGCGAGATTTTTCAAGGACACTTTCCTTTTCAATAGGAGGAAAACAAAGAGAAATGAGCTTCAACGAGTTCACCGAAGCCACGAGTATCTATCCTCTACGATTCATCTTTTATCAAGTAGGTCTCACCCTTCAAGGGGAGGAGTTAGCTACTTGCAATCATCCAGAAGAATTTTCAGGAGTCACCTCAGAAGCCGAGAACATCAAGCACTCTTCAACCTAAAATCTATCAAGAGCACCTCCTTTAAAATAGAATGGTGCATCCTTCATAACATCATCTCATACACTGTTGCTCCCAAGTCCCAAGGAAAAGAGTGCTAACAACCTGACAAAGAGGGATCTCAATCATTTAAGATCGATGTTTATGGAGTCTCATCTAAATTTTGGATTGGTCATCCTCAAGACTCTATACAAGAACATAACAAACTTGAATGTTAAGACCATTGATGGAGGATTATTCATCAATCTTCTTGTAATGTGGGATATTTTGGGATAAACTTGGAGGAATGCAATTCTTTGATTATTCGCTCCACTAAGGCTTTCACCCAGGATCACTTGTCCAAAATGAAACTTCTAGAGCTGACTCAAGGAAGGAAGACCATCAAGGGAATAGCTCCTCAACCTCTTAGACTTCAACTAGAAACGCAGCAACCAACCTCTTTCTTGGAAACAGGGGTGTCATCTTCTGGCACCCATGCATCTTAGATAGACACTCTCATAGAACAGAA